GTGTGTGTGTGTGTGTGTGTGTGTGTGTGTGTGTGCGTGTGTGTGTGTTGGTGCAGCGTGGAGGGAGGCGAGCTCTTCGATCGCATCATCGATGAGAACTACAACCTGACGGAGCTGGACACGGTTCTCTTCATACATCAGATCTGCGAGGGCCTGCAGTACATGCACAAAAACTACATCTTACACCTGGACCTCAAGGTGAACCTGATCGTTTTAAACTCGAAGTGATGGAGGCGTAAACCACAGCTTCGCAACGTAACCTGATTGTTTTGGTTTTTTCAGCCGGAGAACATTCTTTGTGTCAGCAGAGCCACCAACAAGATCAAAATCATCGACTTCGGCCTGGCGAGGAGGTACAACTTGATGCAAATCTCAGCTTTTTTTTAAAAAAAGAGGTGTGAATCCCACATGACTCAGGTGTTTTGTCTTCCACAGATACAAACCAAGGGAGAAGCTGAGGGTCAACTTTGGGACGCCTGAATTTTTAGCTCCTGAAGTAATCAATTATGAGTTTGTGTCATTCCCTACAGACATGTGGAGTCTGGGAGTCATCACGTACATGCTGTGAGTTCAGCTCAGCTCACAAAGAATCAGACATATTCTGTGGAGAAACGGGGTAACGTGATTCTAGACAGGAAATACTGTATGTTGGCATTTATTTGTTCATTAGGCCAGAAAACATGAGATAATGCAGAGTCCAACACAACAGAAGAAAACATAGAAATCTGCAACAAAAAAACAAAAACAAATAATAAAAATGTCCAAATGTAAGTAAGTAAGTAAGTAAAGTTTTATTTATATAGCGCCTTTCACAGAAATAAATTCACAAGGTGCTGTACAATCAGGGAAGGGGGGAGGGGGCAGTTAAGACAGGTCATGCAACAAACACAGTTGCGCTGCCTTTAGAAAAACAGAAAAATTAAAAACCACCAAAGGGAAAATGAGGAAAAATGCAAAAGCATCATATTATATCAACACTGTGACACACTATGGTGTTTATGGAAAAAAATCTCTGCATAGAGTAGATTTCTTAGCCAGAGGAGTAATTAAGATAAGGGAGCCCGAAAAATTCAGTCCCCAAGGCCAGTGCAGCCAAAGTTCAGATTATWGATGGACAATTGTTCATTCTGTGGGGCCTCAGCTTCCTCAGGAATCAGATTAGACAGGTAAGGGAGGAGGGAGGAGGAGGGAGGGGAGGAGCCGTGTCAACATCTTCCAACCAGGAAGGATTTAGCCAACAGATCCAAGGCTGTTGCCGGGGAGATCCAGATTCTGTAATCAGTTGTTTTGGGAACAAAAGGGACAGGCAGACAACAGTTTTCCCTCTGCCTTAATGTCTGCTGGTACATCTCAAGGTGGCGAATCAAATCAGGCAAAATGGTGTGGACACATACCGCCGAGCCGATTCATCAGCTTTCTCCAAGATGAATTCCATCTAGCCAGCAAAGTCCAGGGACCACAGCCGGCCCGCGGCCCTCCGTAGAACCACTTGCAGACCGAGTCCAGCTCACTCAAGGCACAATGTCCGAGTGCTGATAGAATACAGCCGTCCATCCAGTTGGTCAGTCAGCCAGAAAGTGCAAAGCCACCGACGCTGTTTTGTAGACCACCAGGAGACCACCAAGCCAAACTGCAGAATCCAGTGATYGGAGTCCAAATGTATTTCCAGAACAGAGAAGAACAAARGTCCCACCTTTGACWTGTCGTCCCATGGAAGAAAAATAAACTTTGTTCCAAAAATTTTATTTAAAGACCAGCTAACCAAATCCATAAAAATAAAAATATCCATAATTTCTGGTTTYGCATGGGAAATGTAGAGAAGGCTCCAAGCAGCAAAGCAGGGAAAGATAAGGCAGGGCAGGAGAGAAGGGAGAAACATCTTACTCCTTCGAGAGAGGAACAAAATGTGTAGACATGCTGACAGATGCTTTAAAGGGATCCATGATTAGTTCTAACATTAGACTTTATTTGATAAACATTTATTTTAACTGTAAAGTAAAAACTGTAAAAATACTGTGGGCGGATGGAGGACAACAGAGCTGCTTAATGGAAGAAGAACCTCAGCTTAGCCTGTTAGCTTTAGCGTTAGCCCCAACGCTATTACCA